CCACACCCACACCACACCCGCGGCCCTCAAAAACCTTATTATTATTTTGGCGCACTTTTTTGGGTGTTCTTAACCTTTCTTCTTTGTGTTCGTGAGTGTTCGTGGGTGTTCTTTGGGTGTTCGTAGGTGTTCGTGGATGTTCGCGTCGTGGCTGTTCGTGGGTGTTCGCGTCTTTTAGCAATACCCGAGATTTTTTGAAGATTCAGGAAAGGTGACTACTAAAGTGGAGCTTTTTAGTGCTCAATATACCCATTCCATACTTAAAATAAAATGAAGTTCCCTAGGTGACAGAATATAGAATGTCCACAAGTGTGGACATTAGGCGGGAACAACATGAAAAACGCAATTTTTTCTCGGTGTTACCGGAACTTGTTCTGTCAAAATTCAAAATTTTGAGAAAACCAGGGTCATATTGAGAATCAGGATCGCATGACGTGGGTCTCAGTGTTTTGAGGAATATTTGGGATCTGAATTTTGGTTTTGGATTTTTGAAAAAAACGAAAAACTTCAAGGTCATTCAACTCCTGCGCCCATGGCATTCGACCCAGTTCTTGATCCTGAATCTGAATATGACCTTGTTTTTGTCAAAATGTTGAATTTTGATCGAGAAAATGGTAAAGTACAGGTCCAATTTCAGAGTTTTTCACACTGAACTCATAAAAATTGAATTTTTCGACAACCAAGTTTAATTTTTTCAAAATCGGTACATACTTTTTTTTCTCGTAAGTGTATAAGTGAGAATGAAGTATGAAAGAGAATTTTATCTTCCAAATCCGAGGACTAGATATCCTGACCGTCTTCAACGGTTCTCGAAATCAATTTGAGTTTTAAAATTTCCAAAATCCGTTTTTGATGGAGAGTAAGAAAAAAATTTTTTTGGAATTTTAAAAATAGAATGAATGGTTGAATTTTGAGTTTTATTCAAAATTTCGCCTATTTTCACCTATTTTTGAAAAATCGATATTTAAAATGTTTTTAACTGAAAAATGTGTTCCAAAATTGGGAGATTAACTTTTTTCTATGCAACCCGATGTGCTCTATCCAACTATGACAAAAAACGAAAAATAAAATTCTGCACCTTAAAAGAAAAGAAGAGAAAGAAAGACTGTGTATATTTTTAAAAATTAGTACTTTCTATGTCACTTCCCCCTAATGTCCACAGATGTGGATATTTACGGTGCATCAGGACAACTTCACAGAAAATTTCTTTTCTTTTGTAATTGTAGAAAGAATCCTTGTAGCAATAGTTATCTACCACTACATCTGAAAATCTTTGTATTGCTAAAGATATGGAAAAAGCTTTTAAAAAAATTTGAAATTTGAAACTCTTTAATTTAAAAAGTTAATTATCTCAGTCAAGTTCCATAGAAAAAAATTTCTTTTTTATCAATCGCCACGAGTGTGGGCATCCGGGGATAAAGGGTTAAATAAATTCCTACTTTTTGATCTTTTAATTTTTTAAGACGATGTTAAGCTACAGAGCATTCACTTTTCGTCCGTCATCATTTTGTCATTTTCACTTTCGTCTAACTGTTGGAATAACATCATGTAGATCTTTTTAATGCTCATGAAATACTGGGGTTAGTTTTTTAACTGTTCTTATGACTTTCTCTAAACCATCAGCTTTCTCGCACAACGATATCATTAGCATACATTAGATTTGATATGCTCAATTCGACTTATATTTGCGACTCACTTCCTCTTCTTTCGTTAATGCTTAATTTTTTTGTCTCGAACTTGTGTCAATACGGTGAGAGTATTTCTTCTTCTTCTATTAGAAAATATCGCTACTCATGTTCATTTTAAGGTGCGAAACATTTCATTGTGTCCAAGGATGAAGAGCAAATGAAAGCAGCAGCGAATTCGTTTGATTTTATAATTAACGCTGTCTCAGCAAATCATGACATTATGCCAATAGTGAATTTATTAGCATTTGAAGGCGTTTTGTGCATGTAAGTGTATAAAATTTATCCGTTCTTTATTTTGATTTTTGTACTCATTTATAGGATAGGAGCGCCGGCTCAACCATTACAAATATCAGCTATAAACTTGCTCATGAAACGACCAAAAATAACTGGTAGTTTAATCGGCGGTATGAAAGAAACACAAGAAATGTTAAATTTTTGTGCAAAACATTCTGTTAAATGTGAGATCGAACTACTACAAGCAACGCCTCAAAATTTGGCAATAGCATATGAACGAACATTGGCGAGCGACGTTAAATATCGATTTGTTCTCGATATGGAAAACGCATTTAAATGAACATATTTTTAATCATTGTGTATAACTCTGTTATTCAACCATGACGATCGTTTTCTATTTTATTTATTTATGTCTCATGTTTTATTCAAAATTTTTAGGTAGATCAACTTTTATTTTTTAGAGCACATAGTAAAAAAATGTACACGATAATGTGCGAACAAAAATATCTCTACGCTAAAACTACTGTTTTATTTCATTTTTTCTGTTAGCAAGTTATTAGATTACCACTATTTTGAACTATAATATTCACGTACAAAAACGAAAAATAATAAAAACAAGAAATTACATACAAAAAAGCAAACCAAGACACAAAGTATTTTATTAAGTATTGATTTCACCGATCGTTTCTCTTCAAAGGGAACGCACGCTCTACCGGAAGACGGTTAGCAACCATCCCATATCATCAGAACCGCTAAAATACCGCCGTTCACTGCCGAGTATAATGGGAACTCGACTGAAGTCAAAGTGCAAACTTCGATGAGTCTCTATAATCTGAAAGAGAAAGTTTAATCTGAAAAAAAATCAAAGCTTTTTGACTTTTCTGCGTTTCTTATATAGACTGACAACCGCAAAACAAAAAGGTGATTGTATCTAAACAGTTTACCGACGGTGTTTTCTTGTACCGCGGTCTGAAAACTACCGTGCGGTAACCGTCGGTAGAAGAAAAAACCGCCGCTAAACCGGTCGGTATACCGAACGGTACGGTTAACCAGCGGTAATCTATAGACCGGTCGGTAACCGGCGGTATTACGAAAAAAAGTGCAACATGGGATGGTCCGTACAAACTTACTATAAATGTATTAGGGTCTAGTATGTGAATAGTAAGGATATATGGGCAACTTACGCAGTTGGGCGTAAGAAATCTGGTTAGACTAGGGTTCTGTCAGAACTGTCGCTGATTACTAGTAGCGATATGAATAACCCCATCAAAAGCTGAACTTTTTTTATCGAAGTTGGAGCCGAGTTGAGGCTAGAGGTCAGCGAAGCTAAAGTAGACCTTTTTTCCAACTTCGACGTAAAAAACGAGAAAACAAAAAAATGTAACTATGCATCATATACGTGACCTGCGGTCTGTGATCAGATCTTATGAACAGAGGTGAACAGACAAAAACAGAAACTCGTGTATATGTAAGCATGCGAAGATTGAGTTTATTTTTGTGCCCACATACGCAATAGAAAAGACAAAAATGTACTTCGTGTGCTATATCGATCGAACCTTCACTCTGTCAAAACCACCTTCAGATATCGGATAAATCTAATCATATAGGGCCTAAAACATGGCAGCATCATCCACTGATTACCTGTTATGCCGAGAGTAGTATTTTTCGGAGTTTGAGTTGGAAATGTCCAGGGTTCTCATCCCTGAGACACTGCAATTAACATAGATTTGCATCCTGTAATGCTAACGGTAGTTTCGAAGCGGTGGGCATCCTGTTTCCTGATTTTGTATTATGAGACCTGTTTACGGGACTTGACTAGGATACTACAGAGTTGGAACCGGGCCGGTCTGAGCCGGTCCGGCGTAAAAGTTTAGATCGGTCGGCCTCTACCGGTCTTTTACCGGTCTAGACATATTTTCAAACCGGCGGTGATCGACCGGTTTTAAATTTTTAGCATTTTTCTCTTCTTCGTTCAAGAAAACTGACCCGTTGAACAAGTTTGCAGAAAAACGAACTGAAGAACAGATCCTGTTCTCCAGACATTAAATTTAACACAAATGACTTAACATACAATAACCTATAATTGTTTTTATTATAATTAAAATAAGAACAAACCAGACTAAAAAAGAAGCGTCTAAACCGCCCAGTTTTTCGCCGGTTTTTCATCGGTCCAAATGTTGATCAAATAAGTAAGTGTAGAAAGATAACTTTTCTGCCGATAACTTTTCTATGCTATCGCAGAAAAGTTTTCTCTGCTTTCGATTTTGACTCCAAGGAGAGGGTCCGAAAATAGAAAAGTATAAATGAAAAAGTACTCTCTTTTTTTTTGTAGCATCCTAGTCGAGTCCCGTAAGCAGGTCCCATAATACAAAATCAGAAAATATCTATGACTCCTCAACTTATTATCTTCCCTTTTTGAAGTCGAGTCCTTAATGGAATTTCTTCGGATCGATGTGATAGTCGAAGAAGACGCTAACTTTTAGTTATTTTTACTGGAGTCGACTCCATGAAGCAACTCCAGTAATAGAAAATAAAAGCTAGCATCCTTTCTCTTTTTTTGCTATTATAGTTCCTCATTTTCCGTTATTATCGGAGTCAGGTCTCACAATCAGGCCCGAGAATGAAGGTTAAAAAAGAAGAAACTAGCCTGTCTTTTCTTCTTTCTTCTGTTATCGCAATCGAATCCCGTAAACAGGTCCAACGATAAAAACGAAAAGTGAGAAGTAAAAAAGGACGAGAAACGGTTTCGGTAAGAAAATTCCATATTGTTTTGAGTGAAAACGACCGGAAATGAGGGGGGTTAACTTTGTCAGAAAACGGTCTCCTGTTGTTTTTGCTTATTTTGACTTGACCTTTGTAGAAAAGACATTTTTACACATTTTCCAGTTACTCTTATGGAAAACAAGCTCAAAATACGTTTTTAACGTTGATTATTTTGAGAGTCTATCAAAGAACGTCGTTGTTAGACTTATTTTTCCTAGAAGTCTATTAAACTTAAGATTTGAAACAATGTACTATAGGTTGTTTTGTAGCGCTCTCAATTCTGTATACTGTACTAAATACAAAATTTCTAATTTCTACTGGTGAAAGAAACTGGAATCATTTTTATATATCACTATGGGTAATTTAGCCCAATAAATCTATGAGGACAAACTTTGAAAACAGAATATTGTAGTTCATTTTGACTTCTATATCTTCCTATATATAAAACATTCCGGTTCTGAGCAGATGTGTGGAAGGAATGTTCTTTTAAAGCCTTAATATGGGTACAGATCATGGCATCTGTCTGGTATTTTGATAATTGTTCTATGTGAGCATATCTTTGAGAAGCTTATAGCTTATAGTTTATAGCTCATTTTGAAGCCCGAAAAATTCTTCTCTTCTCTATCTTTCTATATATCGGCTTTGGTCAAGGTCTTTGAAATATTAAACGAAATTTTTGAGGAGCAAAGTGAATGACCTTCGTTGAACTGGCGACGAAAAATGATAAGAAATCTTTTTTTCAAGAAGATCAGGAGCACAATAGAAATCAATTAGAAGATCAATTGACTAAAATATGATTTTTTCATTTTAAATCAATTTTTTAATTGAAAATGTTTTGTCTCTGTCTGTTTTCTCCAGCCGAGTTCATTATTTGTGTTTTGGAAAAATAAATGCAGCTCTCGTAATAGAGCGGCATCTGTCGCCCTGTACTAATACGGAATTTTGGCTTTTAACTACACTATTATTTCATGTCATACATTTATTTTCTATTTGTAATAAAGATTCTTTAAATTAAAGCCGATGCAAATTATTTGTTTTGGCCATGATGAGCCAGAAAATCAGTTCAGTTCAGTTCAGTTGAGTTCAGTTTTATTTTCAGTAAAAAATGGCACAACCAACAACAAAAATTCTCGTGCTTTTTGAGTGAAATGAGTTAACATAATGCTTCTTTAATTTTTGTTATTGAATTTAAATTCACCATGTTTTGGTTGTAGCTTTTCTTAATAAGTGGATTGTCAAAGAGTAAATCAAAAGCTTTTTAGATGGTCCATGTGAAGTTTTTGAAAAAACTCGAACGGTATCTGTGGTTGAAAAGAAGTTCAATAGTGTTTAGAGCGAAATTGGATGATAAAAGTCTTTTTGGATGGGTTACCATTTAGATACTTGTTGGTAAAAGGTTTATAGCTGATATTAAAATCCCCTTAAAAATACTGATATTTTTAAATCAACGCTTCTTTTTCATCCTATTGGAAAATTCTAACGAATACAATGTGTTTTCCGATATACTTTGATATTTCTCTAATTTCAGATATAGTTTTAAAGCTCTACTTTGAACATAAGAAAATGCCTTCTCGCTCACGCAAAGAATCGAAAAATACCGTCTCGTCGACCGCACCTTCGGTATTAAAAACATCGGCAACACAGAATAAATCAAATTATTCAAATGGTTTTATTTTAATATCTGTATTTATCGCTTTACTCGGCTATGCCTTGTGGCATTCGGTTGTATTATACACAAAAGAGCGAGCTTCGTCAGATTGGGATTAATTTAAACGATTTGTGTTTAAATTTAAGTCATGCTATAATAATGAGCTTTCTTTATAATTGATTTATCTTCTTTTAATATTGTCTGTTGTTTTTCTGTAGTCAGATTATAATTTGAATGAATTTATTACAGTTATGTATTACAAATGACAATGAATGATCAAATGCATTAGTATAACAAATAATATTCTTTAGTATTTTTAATATGCACACAACTGATGTTGTTCGTTTTTGCTTTTATACGTGGTATCTGATTAATTTTTAATAAAGAAAAAATTGCTGAAATATTTATGTGAGTAATAAAGAAAGCTGCAACTTTTTAGAATATTCAAACAGATAGTTGCTAACATAATATTAACACATAGAAGTAGAATTGAAAAAGGGAATAATAATTGCTTTTTTTGCTATCAGAAAATATAATGTCAACTGTAAAATCTTTTTTAGCTGGAAAATAATTATAAAATGCTATGGTTTTGGCATTGAAATTCCTTATGCTACTTTGCTATTAGCTAATGAAATGGCGCCGAAAGCGTTTTTTAATCGATATTTCCTTTTCCGCTGTATTTAGATTTCGACATTCGATTATAAGTTTTATCGAAAATCATCATTTTAAAAATTAACTATAGACGTTGCTCTTTAATCATCAAAAAAGTATTTCGTGACGAAACAGTTCATTTTTCCTTAAACAAAACAAATTTCAGCAAGAAAAAAAATAATCAGTTTATGTTATTTTGTCTGTTTATCTGAGTGTGATTTGACAAAATTAAAAGAGACTAAACCTATATATCTTCTGTGGAAAAAAGATCGATAAACAAATCTTTTTTCAAACATAACGATATCAACAAAATTTAGCCACAAGATTATAATGATAATAACTTAAAGACATTAGCCAATTTAACCAATCCAAATTTAGAAACGTTTGAAGAAAATTTTCGACAATTAAGTTCGGAAACACAACAAAAATACCAACAATATTTAAACAAACAATTGTCATCCATATTTTGTTGTTATCAAATGAATATTATCGAATTCAAAAAGAATATTATTATCCAAAAGTAAAACTGAAAGAAACTGAAAAATATATGCGAGACAATGTTCGAGAAGTAATGAATTTAAAATTATTACCATTTGATAATAAACAATACATTTGATCCATCATAATTCACACAATAGCTGTATTCATCATCAATGTTTGAATAATTCAAGATTGACAAATTTAGCGAAAAATTTAGATCAATCAATCATTGGATTAAGTCAACAACTGCTAAACGCTAGAAACCAAGCACAATGTAAACGGATATTAAAAAATAATAAATGTCAACAGCAGCAAGATTTTTCATCATTTAAATCATTACATAAACACAGTAGTACACACGATAGTAGACACGTTTTATTCGAGTAGGGGAAACATGCATTTCAGAAAAAAATCGTCAACGGGCAAGTAACGTACAGCAGCACAACAACAACAAATTTCAAGGCGCTTATCAATAAGACAACAGTCAACGTCATTAAGGATGATAACTGTATATCATGCAGCTAATCGAAAATTAATTGAATTGAATCAGAATCGACAAAAGCAACTGTCAAATTTCAAAGTAAGTTGATACATTCAGAGCTAGACAACTTCGTAAAAAGCGTGAATGTAAATACACAGTCTAACCCCAATAAACTTTAAATTTCAGTCTCATCTGTTTTGAGTGCATTGTTTTCCTACTGTAAATGAGATTTTTCTGAAATTGATTAGAAGTGAAGGAAAAAAGACAGTATGCTTCTGTTATTCATCTTTTTCTGTAGCAATTTGTTTTCATTTTCTACTCTACACACATAATACAACAAAACATTGACTTTATAAACACAATTTCCGTTCTTTTTCTCTCTTCTGACTTGTTTTTGGACGACAGTTAAGTTAGATATGCGCAAATATTTGTTTTTTTCGCATAACAAAATATCGATTTTATTCTCAAATTTGATTATGTTATAACATCTACCTACAGTTTTTGTCAGTTTCAGTTAACTGAAACTAATGCATGCCTATTCTGATCCATTTTCTAGGATCTTCTCTTCATAAAATATTTGAACGATACTTTCTGGCTCTGGTAAAAGGCAGTCATGAAATAATTAAAGGTTTTATTTTTAGAAACATTACGAAAGAATGTTTTAATTAATATACAAGGACTACTTGAGTATGGCAATGCTTACAAAGGTTCATCACATTTCTCATTATCTAATTTAAAAGATTATCCGTCGGTTGGCTAATCATATTCAAGACGAAATGTCATCAAACGATCGACATGAAAGTTCAATCAAAAATGTTATTGTAGAGTATTGTTTGCCAAATGAAAACTGTAGCCTATTTCATATAGATCAAAACAGTAATAATAATAACAATAATCCTTCACATGTCGGTCACATCAACCAAACTTCTTCCATCAAACAACTATTCGAAAGAAACAAGGAGACAAATATGTACGTATGAACATCAACGAAGTTATCAACAACAACAGCAAAAAAAGATATTGTGTACATACTTGTCACTTGGTAGTAAGGTAAAAAGCACAGTTATGGTGTAGAATCAAACTTCCCATCTATTGGTGAATCTGTATCTCTAAGGAACTAACTGTAGATTTTGAAGTAACCAAATTGCTTGAAAAATTCTCTTTTTATAAGCAGGTCCACTCGTCAAGGTACGTGTGAGTTCAGATTTAAATTTTCACTTCGACTATTCCCAAGTTTATTCAGAGTAATAACAAAATCTTAATATATCTGTGTTGATTAGTCCTTGTTATTTCTCCATTTTAGAGTTCAGTACATAAAGCTAAGGGTGTAAAACAGCTGGAAGACAAAACAATAGTTTATGGGAGAAGAATCTTAAGTGAGGATTTGTAAGAACAATAGCAAGTAAATGTCGTTCTTACACAATCATTTCATGTTTAACATCTTCAAACGTTACTCTTTAAAGATTATCATAAGTTTTTCGTTCAAAATCAACAGATAGAGAATATAACAATCAAAAGTTTAAAAGCAGAAAAGGAATCTCTCTTTTTAGCAAGTAAAATACTAATAAATAGTATTAATAGTACTAAGAATAATGTTAACAAAATTATAGCAGAAATTAAGCCCAGGTAATTCATAAAGTTTTTTTTAAATCTTACGGCTGAAATCTTATAGTTTCGATAAATCGTAGTAGCTTTTTATGTTTATGTAATCACAGTTACCTTAGGAGCTGATAGTGTAGGTTTTTTCCTGTCCTGTTAGACTTTTTCCATGCCTCTTATTTATTGCGGCATAAGTCTAATACAATCACATGTGGAAAAGAAAAATCAAATTATAATGGTTTTTGTTCACCACAACATCATATGATTCAGCCAGCATTGTAGTCGCATCCTGTAACATCATTGTCAACGTCATTCGTGTCTTAGAATGGGGAACATAGTTAAAATAATTGTATTATCTGCACGTTTGAAAATAGTTTTGGTAGTTTAAAATGTGATATTCGCATAATAACACAATCATTACAATCTCTTTTGAATGAAAAGATGAACTAACGTTCATTATCATCAGCTATTAGAAATGAGCACATAACATCTGCACAGAGCACAACAATCTTCCAATTTGTCGAAATATCACAAATATTGATGAAAGTATGGAAGAAAACAAAATAAACAAATGTTTTGATGACAATTGAATTATCTGATTCAATTGATATTTTGAAGCCATCAATAACTATCGATGCCAATGGATTTACTTCTCAGAACTTTGCTTATGAGAAGGGAGTATACAAGAAAATGGGGAAAACAATTCATAACATCACTGTGCGTTGTTAGTTTCGACGAAGATATCGTCGAAAACTATAGGATAGAAGTGATATCGATTCTATTTCTATTGTAATACCAGATGAAATTATCATAAAACCACGGGCATCCGATAATAGGCAATTATTATCATTTTAACAAGTGATGTATTTCTAAACTATAGGTCTCTATAACACAAATAATAGTAGTGACGATTTTAAATTGCATGTATTGCATGTCAATAACAAACAATGAATTGTTAGTTTATTGCGCGATGGTATCTGATTGGGTCATGCCATCATAATGCATCGCTACTAAACCGTTTTTCGCTCAGATTTTAGTGAAAATTAGCTTCACTTAAAAGCACAAGATTATATTGATAGTTTCAGCAATGAAATCTCAAACATTATTATGTAGTTGATATGAATTACAAGCTAAGCTTTCTTATTTGTTGCATAAAACCATCAGTAATTTCAGTTAGATTAGCACTTTGTTACTAATATATAAATTATAATTTCTTTTCATTGCAGCTAATGTTTGTAACACAAATTTGCTCTTGCATTTCAATGATCCGTTAATCAAAACTTACATTGTACATAAAATGAATGCATGCCCAATGTATATTATTACTAAAATCATTTGAACTTTGAACAATATGAAATTATTATGTAAGATGTATCATAGTAGTTCAGTAAACATTGGACATCTATGCATATATTACCATGAGAGGTTGAATAATATAATAAAAGTAGAATTACGTCTTTATTTCTCGAACTTTGGTTTGCTGTTTTTTGCGTTGTTGAAAGAGTAATGACTAAACCAATGATGTGTCTTGAACAGTCAAATACTGCTATGCAAGAGAAAACTAATGTTATTTGTATTGTTGCTTTCTATTCATTTGCTGTGTCCTTTTCGTTCAGATTTTATTGCATGAAAGAATAATATCTAATAATTGCAATCGATTTTTATTATTGACCTTACGGATACCTCTCTCCATTTGGATCTTTGTAAAATCGCTGCAAAAAATAAACTAAAGTTGATAAAGAACTCATACCATTAGGATAGATAAACAAAGTCTTCTGTGTGCCTTTTCTTTTTTATTTTAACTCTTTATCTATCATTCTTCTCAAGATTTCGAGATTATAACTCTTAGGAAAAGTTATCCGCTAGAATTTTACCAAAAAAGGTTTCAAAAAGTATATCAGACGTAATTTCCTTACTTTCTTGAAAATATTGGTTCCTCACCAATTTAGAGCCTATAGAAATCCTTCAGATCGAAAAGAAAAGACTATGAAAATAATTTTTCGAGTTTTTAAAATAGCGTGAATATGAGAAAGAGATATAGCTTGATCTTCTTACTATCCTAATAGTATGAATTCGGATCCGTTTGAGATCGTCTCTAACACTCTAACACTGACATGTTATCAGTGGTTTTGTTATAGAAATATCCTGCGTCACTTCGTTACTTATATTCAAACAAGAGTAAATAATTTTCATTGCTATCCTTTCCCTTATTATTTTAGATTGTAATGCTTCACGTTCAGTTTCTTGTTTTCGGTAAATTTTTGCATCGACCAAAACAAAAATTTGAATCGTAAATTATTAATGTATATATGACTGTATCTAGAATTAAATGGTATGTTCCATGGTATATTAAATATTTAAAATAATTTTCTTTCCGTTTATCATATTCAGGAGAAAAAGACAATTATTGTTGAATTTGGTTTAAGACGACAAAAAATTTGTGTAACTGGTAAAACAATTACAGATTTTAATTTATTAAATATGATTGCCAAAGCATTTGATATATTGTTTAATGATTATATTTTACAAATATACGATGTTGAAGTTGATGATTATATTGATTTGTGTTTAAATAATTCGTTATTAAATATGGATAATATCGAACAATTTCATCGCTTTAGAATTGTTTCACTTTTACCCAACACACATACATTACTTGTATGTATGTATTTCTCAATAATAACAACATCAGATAGAATATAAGTAAATTATATAGGTTTTTCTATTTTTATTATAGAAAAATAATATAATTCAAAGTTTAAATTCAACAATTGATAAACTTCATAATGCTTCATTTGAAGTTGAAAGAATTAAATGTAAGTTTAGTGTCATTCTTTTAAATACGATAATTATCTATCTTTTTATCTTAGCGGAAATTGATTCGATGAACGAAAAATGTACATTATTAAATCAGGTATGTGAGTATGGAATATGAAGTTTATTGAAATTAAGTTGATTGTATTCGAGTTTGAAGAAACAAAACGTATTCTAGTAGACATGCATCAATTCTTTTTTGAAGCTTATTGAAAAAAATGACTAGTTCTATGACTATATGTTTTTTGCATATATCAGATTATTCGGCAGATTTTTCTCTACAAAATGAGGTATAATGAAGTTTGTAGTTGCATTTGAGAAGACAAAAACAAGAAAAATATTAACCAGTTCTCTACCAATTTCAATTTCAATTCTACTTTTTTAAAAATAGTGTATAATGTTTAATCTAATGCTGCCGTAAAATTTCCAAATAGCCTGTTTTGTAGAGAAAAGTCAACGGTACAATCCTCCATTGTGGATAAAAATTGGTACCAAATGATTTAAGAGATATAATTATTTTCGAAAATGCATCAAAAAATCAATTCTAGAATTGGTGCATGCCTATGTTCTAGTACATCTTGAACTTTGCTCTTAAACTTGTTTAAATAGGAGAATATTTACAAAGTAGTCTGATTATTTTCTAGATAATGAAATTGAGAGACGTATCAGATGGTTCTACAAAAACACAAATATCAAATGATTATGAGGTGAAGAAAGCAAAATATAAGAGATGTATGATAATTCTATTTTATTCTATTGTAGAATGATATTAATAATGAAGACAATGAGAATAATGATGATTTACTCGAAAGTGTATCGTGTTATGCAGAAAGATTACATAATGTGTCGGAAATTAAATCTAATCCAATTATTCTACCATTAAAACCAAAAATTAAAATGAATGTTTCTCAAACTAGAATAAGTATGTATAACCTTGTAAAATGAATCATATAGAAAAAGTTTATTTTAATTTATTTGTTTTAGTTCCATGTAAATATGCAGCAAGAGGTTCGTGTATGGCTGGTGATATGTGCGAATATTTACATGATGGTATGTACTCTCTGTGCAAATCATCAACATATTTTTAACATACTATCGATTCTTTATTTAGAAGTGAGCTTAAACTTTATACGTTCTTGGGAGAATCGTTTATAAATAGAGTCAATTTTATTTATTAACATTTTCTTATAGAAAGTGTTTAATCTTTAATTTTTCAATTATCTAATATTTTATAAATAAAGTGATTTGTTCTTTTTTTACAAGTCTTATTAAAATAATCATTATGATTGTATAACATTTAAAAATTATTTTTTACTATTATTCGAATTTGTTTGTATTTAAATGTTTGAGTAATATATTAGTCCTACAAATAAAATTTTGTGTTCTTTTTGATTGATAACAGATTATTGTTTCTTTTTTTCTTTTGTGTATGGTTGTGATATTTATCAATATAACGATTTTCAATAAATTTTTTCACAAATTGTTTAGTGTTAAGAATATTTATCTATGATAATTCGATTTAACGACGTTCAAAATTTAGCCTTTTACAAAACATTTTTGGAGCTATTTTTGAAAGTATTTGATAGATGAATAACCAAGTTTTGATTTCGAAGAGGTTTATCAAAACTACAGCATTACACCAACTTCTCACTCATATAAACTGCTGAGTTCTTTTACCGGATATTATGTACATATCCGTCGTATCAGTAGTAATTGAACTTTTCTTGAATGTGTGATTCATACAGCAATATTAATAAATTTGTCTCATTCTATTCATACAATCGCTTCTTATAACGCCGACGAAAAGAATTTGGACTTTGTACCAACTTGCAAGTTACCGATGTCGATAACGAACAAACGATTTCATCATCGATCCTGTCGAGTTCAAACAAGTGCATTTTTACTTTCTTTTCAGGTCAATGGCATTGTAAATCACTAGGTAATAGTCGCTTGTTTTCTTTTATTACGTCTATTTTCAATGGAGTGTTAATAAGATATACGTTCAACTAATTGTATTATATATAGAAGTAACAGAGAATATATAATTTTCAATTCTATTCTAATCGCTATCTAGTTCGCTAATATTTTCAGCAAGATATGAATGTGTTATCATAAGTTTGTTAAACAGTAAGAAAGAAAAAGAAAAAGATAATGCATACATGAGATTCTTGCCCTCTGCAAACATATGTTTCTCTCTCTCTCTGTACTTTGTATAGGTACAGTTTTATCACGGAAGAAAAATATAAAAATTCTATTTCTTCTCGTTATATTCTTTTTTGACGAAGATTTAAATTGTAGTCGGCTGTAGAGAAGTGTGTGAACAAATTTGATCTATACAAATTCATTATCTTGGATAGTATGTCTTTCGTGAACTTGAGACACACTGTTCATGGTATCATGTATGCATTGTCAAAAAATGTTTCCCTTTAGATGTAGTATTCAATTTGCAGTTTCATCACGATTTGGTTTAGATCGGTGAATGAGGTACTTAGAATAAGCAATAACTAACGATTGAATATCAACCATTTGGTTTGGTCACAATCCTATTTTTACAACAATGTTCTACAATATAAGTACAAAGGTGTGTTGTAACTTTCAGTATATATTTTTAATGTATTTATCTATTTGATAGTCTATTATTTTCTATCTCCTTAGAAGACCTTCATTCTAAAAACCGTTCCTCTTCAATTTAGACATTTATCTTCATCTGTTTTCAGAAATATAAATTTGTACAGTACAAAAAGCTTCATAGTAAATTTATATTGTTAATATTTTACTTTCGTTGTCTGTTTTAAGAGTACTAATCCCCTCATTTTAGGCTTTCCATAGAAATGTTGTCAAATAAAAACTAAAAAGGACTAAATCTTCATATTTCCAGAACTGATTGAAAACTCAATGGGGAGCATTTTTCGTTTGTGTTTGAAGTTTACAGCTATTACCGTACGCGAGTTTTCGAGAAAACTCGGTTTTTTCATTGTGTCATATTACGACCCTCTTAAATTTCATCCGATGGAGTCAAAAATTATACCACAAGTACTCAAGGTAATATCGCAGAGATGTTTTCTGAGAAGTTTTTTAAAGACCTTTCCTTGTCGAGTTATAGGTTTTCTAAAATTTAAAAACTTGATTTTAAAGACGTTTTTTAGCATTTTTCATATAACACAAAGAAAGGTCTTTAAAAAACTTCTCAGAAAACATCTCTGCGATATTACCTTGAGTACTTGTGGTATAATTTTTGACTCCATCGGATAAAATTTAAGGGGGTCGTAATATGACACAATGAAAAACCGTTTCTCGAAAACTCGCGCACGGTAATAGCTGTAAACTTCAAACACAAACGAAAAATGCTCCCCATTGAGTTTTCATTCAGTTCTGGAAATATGAAGGTTTAGTCCTTTTTAGTTTTTATTTGACAACATTTTACGGAAAGCCCAAATGAAGCCTTTATAAACAAAAGAGTGCCCTTAGATATAGTTATTCTCTGAGATTTTTTTTGATCTTGAGTAGCAGAAACGAACAAGGTTCAAAGATGGTACATGTCTTGCTGTCTCGGTTGTTAGTTTTTATTGTTTAGAGAATATGTCTAATTGTACATGGCTAATGATTTATACATATATTTTTTAGAATAACAAAGAAAATATATGCACGGCACGAAGTAGATCCTTTGATACATTAAATAGGGACAGTAAGTGTAACATATACACTGAGAAGTAAATCAATGTTGAAACTATTTGTTTTAGTTAATAAAATTTGTCTTTCATTCACAAATAACGATGAAAACGATTGCATTTTGATGGATACATTCGACGTATGTTTATAATGAATGTATAGATTTCCTTATATCTCATACTATCCTATTTCTAGAGCAATAAAGCACTTGATAATGTACATGTAGTAGTTCGACATAGAACAGGAATGTCAAAATGTTTGAAACAAAGTGATACATTATGGCTACGATTTGATGTGAATCAAAGTGGAATTTATTCCCTTTCACCTACAAAGTCTCTTTTACAAGTGAAACTTGGGGAAAATGTCGACGATGTTCAGACACGTAACACAATAGCGGTAAATGAAAGTTTGTAAATGAAATTTTCAACAAACATTTTAAACTTTTCAATTTAGATTGTTCACAATGAAAAACTTTACCACGTTGAAACAAAATATTTTTTTCTGTCTAAACCATGTGATGACGACACAATTATACCATTAAAAACTCGAGTACTAGTTCGAACAATTGATGAACAACAAAAAATTGACTTATCATTTGGTTTTATTTGTGAAATTCCGACCCAGTATAATCATTACCGCCATCTGATTATTTTTGATAATTTATCTGCCAAATACCACCAAAACATGCATGAAATTTATCTTTCACTTTCGGGAGATTTTTCATGTCATTCACCGCATCTTAACTTCTGTTCAAGAATATTTTTTGAACAATATTTTAATTATCTATCTTCATTTCCTAAAATATCACCAACAATTAATCTACCTATCAATACTAATATTCGTGTTAAACATGCTGGCAACTATCATAATGCTCGTATAATAGAAAGAGATTGTTCAATGATTAGAGTGAAATTTATTGAACGAAAATCACAGTCGGAAATATGGATTTATTCTGGATCGATATCAATTGAACAAATTCAACAACGATTCTATTCAAATTATCAACAAGACGTATTTAAACAATCTTCTAGTCAAACAACAACATTAGTCACAAAGAAACTTGCCGTTGCAAATCATTGTATATCTAGTCCAGTTACTTCATCATTGATTCGTCAACAAATCGGTTTATCATCGACAACATCTATTTTATCATACAGTAAAAACAGACCGTCTACAATACACTCTATTAATTCTAATTTATCAACAGCTCTTTGTCCTAAATCTAGTTTATCTAATAGAAAACGAAAACTAAACGAAACTATTGAAAAACGATGTAAGTATTGTTTTTGCTTTATTTCATAGTCAGCTCTCGATACTTATTCTATTTGAACATATTTGAATTTTTCTTGAAGTCATTGGAACTTTCTTAGTACTTGCAAAACTTCAATCTGCAGTATTTTTCAATAGTTGTATTTGAACTCTGTCATAATAGAAACTGAATAGGCATATATGCAGACCCTTTCATTCACTATTTTTTTTGCATTAATCTAGTATTTATTTACACTTTCAATCTAACTAACTCTGTATTATTTTTCTTTCCATTTTATATATATCAGGTGTCAGAACAACAACAACATCGTCGTCATTGTCATTATTTACCAGACATGTATGCTCTAATTTATGCGTGGCGAATGCGGAAAAACATTTTGATCCATCAAACCTACATTCATTTACTTTACCAATACAATGTGGATGGAAATTTCTTAAAATAATCATTCCTTATGGTCAAAAAGAACGAGAAAAGAAATATGTACGAAAAAATGTAAATAAAAATTTTATATTTCGTTCGCCATGTGGTTTATCATTTTTTCAATTGAGTGAAGTTGAACATTATTTATGTAAAACAAAATCAAAATTATCTATTAAATATTTTATCGATGATAAATTAACGAGATTAAGTTATTGTTTTCAGTATGATAAATCATTTATTCGAGAAAAAGATTTATCTAATGGCATTGAACGAGTAAAAATAAGTGTCTATAATGATATTGATCGAAAACGACCAACACCATTTGAATATGGTAGAGATCGTCGCATAGGCAATAGAAAAATACCACTTGTGATTAACAGTGATGATTTGACATGTTGTAATTGTGTAGACAATTGTTCGGATCGTTCAAAATGTGCATGTCATCTAAAAACATTGGAAAAGGCATTGTTTCATAAAGATAAACAAGTGAAACAATGGAAAAAGCATGGTTCATCAAAAGAATGGATTTTAAATCATCTTGGTTATGTACATCAAAGGTTACATCGAGTTGTAACATCGGGTATTTATGAATGTAATAGCCGATGTAAATGTCATCAACATCATTGCACAAATCGTCTTGTACAAAATGAATTATTTTTACAATTACAATTGTTTAATTCGATTGATAAAGGATGGGGCATTCGAACATTGTATGATATACCTCGAGGAACATTTATCAATTATTATAGTGGTGAACTCTATAGTAACAGAGAAGCAAATGAACGTGATTTTAGATATCAAGCTGATCTGGATTTTTATAAACAATTCGATAATAATATCACAACTGACGAAGACCAAAGTGATAGCGATAATGGTGAGAGATTCGACGTTAACAACAATAGTCGTATAGAAAATAGGAAACAAGGTACATCTACGGTAGATATCGGCTTGTTTATTAATTTGCACAAAAATGTAATGAAATATAGTTAAAAGTAAAAAAAACTGAAAGAATCGTTTTGTTTTATTATTAAATGCCTCGCATATAATATTTACATATTTCAAACAAAATAAATTAATTTTTTCTTTAGACAATCAACGAAAATCTTATAAACGACGATTTCCATTAGCACAAGAGGAAAGATCCTCCGTTACTGATGGCGACGATGATGATGTTTATACAGTTGATGCAAAACAGTATGGTTGTCTCTCAAGGTAGAATATTCATTTGATATTTTCATTTCGTTTTAACTTTATGTCATATTCTTCTTATTCAGATTTTATAATCACAGTTGTTCACCAAATGTAATGGTTCAAAATGTTTTTATTGAGACACACGATATTCGTTTTCCATGGATTGCTCTCTTTGCAAAAGATAATATCAGAGCCGGTGAAGGTATATGTTGCTATTAATTTTTCATAGTATATTCCTAATCTCTAATTCTTTTTTATTTTATTTTTACAGAACTCTGTTGGGATTACAATTATGAAATAAATGCAATTTCTGGATTAGTCATGGAATGTAAATGTCGATCAAGCCAATGTCGTGGACGTTTGTTGTAATAAAATTGAGATGTTATTGTTGTTTAGTTTTTCTTGATTTTTCACTTTTTTTTACGGTAGAGTGATATGACTTTGACAGTGAATTGACAACTATTTGTTGACCGTTTTTTTCGTTGTTGCTTATTCTTTTTTTGTTGTCATTCCTGTTAAGTTGTGTAAGTATAAAAAAAAAAACATGTAGTTTTTTTTATTGTTCTACCTTTGTTATTTTGTTCTACTTTCTTTTGTTATCAATTTGTGAAATGACATTTAACGATATAGAATCAAACACAGAGCTTGTGTTTTATTTTTTCAACTATTTTTATAATATACTTTATCAGGTATTTTTGATCTCTCAACTTATTATATATCTTTTTTTGTTCAAAATTAAATAGAGAATAAATTTTGCTACTATGTTTTTCAATATTCTATTTGACTTGATGATCTGGAAATACAATTTTTTATACTTATGTTAGCCTTTTTTGTGTGCTTGAGTACTAGAGCTGTTAATCGATATAAAACTCAAAGGTTGGAAAAAAAATTGCTTTAAAATGTCCTGATAATTGATAATGCTGTTACTATCGGCAAACATTTGTATAATGAACTACTTACCGTTCTATGAGTTATATATACAGACAGATTTATTGTATATATTTTTTAATTGATAAGTGGATCAGTATCATCTATTCTCAATATTCGTTCGATATTTAGTATTTTTAAAAAATGAAGGTAAATTACCGTTTCACTTTTCTTTATCGCATATATTCGAGTGAAGATATTAACTGATTACGTTTCGTCAACTGTCCTATTTTCAACTAACACCATATTATCCGTAGATCCTAAACAAACCATGTCTATGCATGTTTGTTGCTCTTTTCTATTCACGGTGATTTAGCGACAAAAATAACAACAATATATGTGACTACTAACGTTTGATACACACTTTTGACAATTTTATTTACTTTTATTTTTTTGTATGCGATTTTTTTCGAAAATATTTTTTTCTCAGTTATGAAACCAGGTCATTGTTTTTCTACTTGTCCATAGAAAAGTGACAATGAATATGAATGTTACTATTTATCTTTTACTTTTTTGACATGTGAATGCCAGTTTAATAAACGTGTATCATATTTATTTCTCTTTCTAAAGATTTAGAATAGATAATGATAAAATTGTTTAATAGTTTTTATGTCTGATTATTCAATGTCAAAAACAGACATCCGTAATCCATTATTATCACCATATTATTATGCTGAGTATCATTCATCTGATAGCACCACTTGATGGTTAAGTTGTCCATCATGTATGCCGACGATACTATGATTAAACTCTCGGCACCGTTAAGTTGTGAAATAACCTTGGACAAGTTACTTATGTTTTAGTAATAGCACACTCATTGTGTTGTGATATACAATAGAGTTTTCCTAGTTGCTTCAAGACGAGATATTCTTCCTTCTTCCAACAGGTTGCTACGTCGTTTTCAATTAGTGAATTTTGAATAAGTACGTTCTTTTTTGATAGTGCATTCAACTTTTCTTTATTTTCTCATAAAATTCATCTATCTACAGATTGTAGATAGATAAGATCATAGATGATGTTTGAATAGATTAAAAGCCGCTTGTATGATTTGTCATAGGGTATTACTGTTACTATGTTGTTGATCTTGTCAAAAATATGAACGATAACTGTATATGATAACTACTAGTAGATCAGTTATTAGCTGCCCGTGCTTCTTTATTAAATCATATAAATATGTGTCTCTTTTCTTTTTTGACAAGTTTGTAGAACGAACGTTTCTCTTTTAAATAAGATGTTTCTCAGCTCTTTGTGTATTGTATTTGAAAAAAATAATGATCATTTTGTTAAGAGATCCAAGAAAAGATAGAAAACTATTTCATAATTGATACATGACTACACAATTTGTACGAATGACATGTATCAGCTGTAATAGTCGATAAGTGATGTGAGTATCCTTAAAGTAAAACAGAATGTTGGTTGATAAAATGTTAATTTTTTTTGCAAAAGGAGAAACTACTTTATTTGACTATTATGATCAGATGACAAACTTTAACATGAATTCAATCTCTGCTAACTCGTTCATGAATAAATTTAAACTCGTTTTTGTCTGTTTGGTATAGAATATTTTTTCTTTCTTTTTTCGTCTTCTCTATTGTACGTATATGTAGAAAAAAAACTTCGATTATGCAAGTTTAATGAGAATGAATGAATGGCAGTGGTAGTAGTAATAGCATGAGTATGATTATAATATATGTATGGTAGAAGAAAAGACTTTTTGTATGTGCATGTACACATTAAACTATCATCTTTTATTAGTAGATAAATATGATTTTATGTCGATTAATTTATAGAATTAGAATGCCATAAGTGATTGGATGATACATCTTGAAAATCAATTGTTGTTTATTCATAAGAAGTTCTTTATTCTTCTACATTCATTGTATGTATGAATATGTAATTGTTTTATACTGTCTAACAAGTAGTTCAGAAAGTTATCGTGACTAAGATCGTATACACAATGTTATAAGATCGTATGACTACATGAAATTATTTTGTATAACTTTTTATTTCTTCAAACATACACGGATGAAAAGAGAATGTTATTATTTGAATATGGAGAGTTTTCTTAATCTTAGAAGAAAATATTTTTAAAAAAGATTATAGAAAATAAAGTTTGTATAAAAAATATTTCAGAGATTTAGTAATGAATATGATAAACACTTCTGCTAATATGTCATTGATACAAAAGATTGAGAGAAATTATGTTCATCTTTGTTTTGTTTTTTTCATAATTGTTGAACAAAAATAAAGCTCTTTACACACGTTTGTTCAGAAAATTGTTTCGAAAAAAAAAAACAAAATTCCATAATCTTTCTTAATTCTGGCTGATTAATCTCATATCTCTACAGGCTACTGTTTATCACGTTCTTTTCTACATGTACAAAAAAAAGATCGAACTGATTTGACAAGTGTCACTATCAAGTAAAATAAATTGAGTATTGACAGGCTGTGTGTTACATATAAATAATTCTGTTACACCTTTTCTGTTACAACCATTTATAACTCGTAAATATTTTTATCTGACAGATTACAAGTGTGAACTATATGGATCAAATTATGTATTACGCATGCGATCACATCTGATTTTTATGCATCCTGTCAAATTAGTCTGCCTTTTTCTTTTTATTCTACTGAGTAAACGATGAATCTACAAGAAGTTTTGAACTATATATTTAAAATTATTTGATTTTCAATAGTTAAAATTCATTTTAAAATGCAAACTAAAAAAAGATAAAATTAAATTATTCTGTTTTGTTTTTTTCTTCTTATTTCCAGATGATTTCAAGTGATCTTACATCGAACATTTTTTGTAACATAGTATGTCATAACATGTTGTAGTGAGCGCCTTAGGCTCGTCACCGTATCGAGTTTTATTCGTTGCATTAACATTTTTTCATTATATTTGTAGTCATATAAAACGCCTTAGTGTCAAAGTGATGTGTGTGTATATCTATTAAAAGTCAATTGATTGGTATAATTTGATATTTATCGTATGATGTTGAGGAAATATGCCGTTTGCTAACTCTTGTTTAGTTGATCAGAAGAGAGAGAAAAAAAGGAGTAGACAATAACGGAACTGAGAAAGATAGATGACAAGAAAGATCTTATACAATTGACAATGAGCACGAAAGTCTTTTTTTTTACATAGTTAAAAGAACACTTTCAATCTTTGAACAAGAAGCTATTATATACATTTACTTTTTTTTATCGAATTTTTAAAAATAAAAAGTGTTATTTCAATGACAAAAAGAACCTCGAATGTGCACCAAAGGTGTTGTTGTGTACTCTAAATTAAGTAATCTCAATTGATAGATCTATGAACATTCGAATTAAAAATTATTGTTTTTGATCAACAGAGAAAAGCAAACGTAGATCATAATGCTTCTATCACGTATTTTTTGCTTCTTATTTCCTTTTCTTTATGTATGTAGATATATGGGTGTATGATTAAGAAAAGCGAGAGAAAGATGGAAAGTAATCGAGCAGTTTCTCTCCTACAATATGTACATATGTATAGATATGTGTATACATGAGTCAAGCTATTTAATTCAATTACTGTAAATTAGTATTGGATGAAGAAAAATAACATCTACACATGTATGTAATCGTACACATAGCCAAAGGACAAGTATTTTGTCATTTACTTAGATAATTACAGAGGTAGGTAATAGTTTACCGTCTCTTTCTATATTTTTGTTTATCGTTGAAATGAACTGTTAAATGAGTCAGAATTTGTTTTTATTACAGTCAAATAAAAAGAAAAAACGATTATTTTCTTGAAAAGACGAATCTTCTTTAGTCGACTTTGGTTTTTAAGACGAATATTAGTATTTGTATGATAGTAAACAACAACTTTTAGATAGTAACCAATTTGTTACTATCTAAGACAGATGAATTTTTGGAAAGTGTTGGTTTATGTCTAATTTTAAGTGATAAAAAGACAACAGCATAGAACAGAACTCTAATCTAAATACATTAACCAAATATTATCATAAAATAAGAAAAAAGGCCAAAAAAATAATTAAATATTCTCAGTAATAGACTATACACGAGAATATCGACTGTATATAACTTATTTTTGCACATGAAAAAAAAATGTTTCCTCTTACATACACATTTTTTAGACATATACACATTGATTAACTATGTCGTTGTTGAAAGAGAACAAGAGAAGAACACGGTAACATCTATATATTCTGAAGTGAACAGCTGTATGTAACACGAGCAATTACAGTCCTTCAACATTCATGTATTTGAGCATTTCAATTGTCATATCAGCAGGAAATGAATAAAGAAATTTCTCTTGTCACATTTATATATCAGAAATAAAAAGAGGACAGGTGAGGCTTTTTTATTATTTTCACTTTCTCACTTTATTATTGATCAATTATTCAGTTTGATCAAGTAGGACACATAAGAGAGATCAGCTTGAGACGGACAATTAGAAGAGGTTAAATCTGACAAAATATTCCCAATAGAATTTTTTTATATAGCATCATGTTTTCTGTGTACTTTCAAAGAAATTTGCAAATGTTTATTGTTACATTGTTAAATTCTGAGAACAGTTGAGTAGTTGTAAAGCGATTATATTTACTGTCGTTGAAGCTTCATATAACGAAAATTAAAAATATTGTTTCTACCATAATGTAAGATATTTTGGAGTTTTGGTGAATTTTTTTTTTTTTTTTGAGGAAACAAAAAGACTCATTCTCTTGAGAAATTTCTTTTGTCTATTTTTTTGTGTTACTTCTTCAAGTTGTTAACTTTTTTTGATCTTAACATAATACATGCTATAGAGAAAAACGAAATATCTATTCAAACGTTGTTACATTATAACTGAACAGTCTGAGTGAATTATGATTTTTTTTTTGTTCTGTTTTCCCATAGATTACATAATAATATAGTGTTTTATCGTGTTTCTTAAATATGTACCATGGAAGTCAAATTTTTTTTGTTCGACGATTCATTTGGGTCATATGTTGTTAGCCGCTGACCAATAATAATAATAATAGAAGTAGAATCACATCAAGTACGTGAACACAAGCTGAAAAATAGACATAAATTCATTTTTAATAATCTCAGCTTCTTTCATTGTTTGTTTTTTTAAGAAAAAAATAACGTTCATCATCATTTTGTCAAAGTGGCGAACACTATCAATAATCATGCTAATTACTATCAACAGCAACCACAAAGACATAATTCATTTACAACAACTGGAACATTATCAAAAACGAAAAAATTTGTATCATCATCTACGTCACTCTCATCATCACAGTCAACATCAGACGAAAATGAATCGACGTCAGTACAGTCAAATTTTACAACAAAAACAAGATCGAATAATATACCTGAGACAGTTCGAAAAAAATCGACAACAATGCCAACATCATTTGGATTAAAACAAAATGATTTATTTTCAATTAATTTAAATAATCATAGCAATGATAATAACAATAATCACATCGTATCAACATTTACGTCTAATAATAATAATAATACTAAAAATTCGACAAAATCAAAGCTTATCTATCGCATGATGTCATTACGTCGTTCATCGAATAAACAATTACCAATTATTTCAGCACCATTTTCAACTATTAACACATATTCATCACCATTTCCTCATTCACAAATTCAATCATCTTCAACACCACAACCATCTTCATCCATTTCATCTACATCATCTGTAAGATCAGCTATATATCATGTTCGAACGTTTGATTTAACTCGAGATAAACATTTAAGACATTATCCATGTACAATACATTTTCTCGATGATACAGAACGAACGTTTTATATTGACGTAAGAGAAATTGATTAATTTTTGTTTTTTATTTTCATTATGCAGTTTAAATTTTCTCTCCGTACAAGAATCTTGATTGATGTTGTGTAAAAAATAGTATATTATATCTATGTGTAAATAGCAATATTCTCAGTTAAAGCATCTCTATACTCGGTAATAAAAACGTTACTGTGATAGTCCGATGTCAAATTAATAAAAGAGATAACGCTCGTGCTTACTTTAAGAGATAGTATTTAAATTGAATTTGCAATTGATTAAGTTGTTCTTAATTTCTTTGATATAAAATGTATACTGGAATGATTTAGTGTGAAAATTAAAAATAGGGAATGAAATAATGATGTCTTCTCAAACTATTTATTTTCTTGTATTTTTAGCGTCATTGTAAAGGAATAGATTTGTTAAATGAAGTATATAACTATCTTGATTTACCAGAACGAAAATATTTTGGTTTATTGATTGAAGATTTGACACAAGATACATCGTATCGTTGGCTTGATTCATTGAAAACATTAAAAAAACAATTTAATACAACAAGTCCATATCATTTATATTTTAAAATAAGATTTTTTGTATTAGATCCTGTCAAACTTGAAGAAGAATTTACAAGGTACATTTTTTTTCTGTTCAATTTTTAATTACTTTAATAGGTTTCTTCGTTTTGTTAGGTATTTATATGTATTACAAATAAAGAAGGAAATTTTAAGCGGAAAATTATGGTGTGTACGACCAAAAGCATCACTTTTAGCCAGTTATCTTGTACAAAGTATGTTTTTATCAGAAAAAATCAACAAAAATAATTAATTCGATTAAAACGATAATATCTTTTTCTTATCGAATAGGTGAGCTTGGTGATTATGATGCAAGTCAACATCATCCGGGCTATGTATCAGACTTTCGTTTTATACCGTTTCAAAATACAGAATTTGAACATGACACAGAAGAATATCATAAAAAACATATGTAAATAGAGACTAATCATCAATAATGGAGTATTTTACATGCTACTTTTTTTCGATTATTTAGTGGGTTTAATCCGGCTGAAGCCGAATTAAACTATTTGAAAGTTGTTAGTTCATTAGACATGTACGGTGTTGAATTGCATAAAGTGTGTGTCAAAGTATGTTACTGTAGACTCTCGATACTTCTATGTATGAAAAATAGAAAATCATATTTTTCATTTTAGGTACCAAACACATCAGATGTGAATACAGTTGAACTCTATGTGGGTGTTTCAGCTGTTGGTTTGTCCGTATTTCAAAATTCAACAAAATTAAACACATTTTCATGGTAGCCAATTTTATAAGAATTTATTAAACATAGTTAATTATTTAAGAGTTTTCTCATTTTTTCAGGGATCGTATTACAAAAATTTCATTTAAAAGGCGAACATTCTACATACAATTAGTCAAAAATCTTGTAAGTATTTTATTTACTAATATTTTTTTGTTTTTTTTTTCGTCTTGACGATACAATAAAGTATCATTTCAGATAGTACTTTCGAAACCTAAATATCATCAGTAACATTTGAAAATTTGTCGTTTTATTTGTTTGTTAACATTTCTATTTTGATTCTAACGAGACAGAAAAACTTTTGCTATGCACTTCTAAGTCATACGAACCCTAATTTATAAGGTATGAAATGATCTTTTGTCGAGAAAATTTTTAGCGAAGCTCATTCGGACCTAAAAGTAACACTATGACGAAAGTTATTTGAGTTGACTGTGTAATACAATTAGGTAATCAATTAGGTATCCTCTAGAAGTGTCATATGTCATATACAACCTTTTTGCTTACGCGTCAATATATGACTCTCGGATGAGGTAATATCTCTCTCTGCGAGTCTCATACTTCTTCTTTTACGTCAAAGTTTTACAAAATATTAGAAAAATGTACTGCGTTTTTACTTTAAAATCGTCCTTAGATGCGTTATCTATGACTTGTATTCTTTCTAGCCTATCGACGAAGTACCAACTCATTTTCTTGTCATGGTAAAATATAAACTGATTTGCTTCTCTAATTTTTGACACATAACACTTATTTTGTGGTATTGTTCGTTTGAAATGTACTGCAGATTTGTGATAGTTTATTGATTGATTGTGAAATTTATCAATGGTACATTCAAAAACTAAACATGCATGCTATAAATCTATTTGTGTGTTGCTTTTACTGCTACTGCTTATCAAGATTAAAATTTCAATTTCACTATTTTGTGCTAAACTAAAAAATGATTGTTATATAAAATATTTTCTCTTTATAAATTTTAGAATTCACAAGAAGGAAATTCTCTAGTATTTACGTTAAGAAGTTATCGATCAAATAAATATTTATGGATTTCATGTGTTGAACATCATAAATTTTTTCGTTTAAATACTCTACCGTCGTCACCAAGAAGATTTTTTCCGTTTGCAAATAAATTTAGACACACGTATGAGATCAAATGTTACCATTAAAATTCAATTTAAATTTTTTATTATTCTGATATTTTTAGTAATGCCGGTGATTCGAATAGTATCTCATTTGTAGACGGAAAGAAACGAATTGAAACAACTCAGAAAAAATTTGAACGGTACTATTTCATTCAGTTGTAAACTTTTACAGTTGATTACATTTGATGCTTGTTTTTTTATTTTAGAGTATCAAGTCGTAGAAGTTTACGTGCTGCCCATACAGGTTTATCATCAACATTACCAGTAACCTCTACAACTTCGACCTCATTGACATCTCAGAATACGAAAAATAATGAAACAATTGTATTTCTATCGTCATCATCGATTAGTCTGCAACAGTCTAATAATACTGATAATCAACCACCTCCCAAGCCACCACGTCAACTTATTCTACAGGTGAAAAATACTAAACATCCTATCAATCATATAACATCAAATGAGACAAACACAGTCCTCGAAGCAAATGATTATAAACCAAAGAATGCTACACTGCCTCGTAACAGGTTAGATTGACTTTTTTTACAAAAAATATCTGAGAATAAAAATAATAAAAAAGACATTTTATTCTCATTTTCTATTTTTTCACAGTGTTCATCCTTCGCATTTAATACAATCGAGTGAAAATAAATTAACGACTAATTTAAATGGAACTATTGGTTCATCAAATACATTAACAATCAAAAAGGTATAATTTTTCTATTACAAATAAAAAATATGAATATTTGAAAAATTTTCTTTTCAGTTACAATTTATAATTATTTCTTTTAGTTTAAATCTATTCAACAACCATTAGAAAATGATCTTGTTTTAATTAAACTTATTGCTGATAATAATGAACGATATGGTTTTAACATAAAGGTATTGAATTCTTATTTGATAATTATTTTAGACAATGTTAAAAATATTTCTTTTCATCTAGGGTGGTGCTGATCAAATAAATCCTGTTATTGTATCACGTGTTGCTTTAAATAGTCCGGCTACAAATTCTGTGCCACCACTGAATGAAGGAGATCAAATATTAAGCATTAATAATATTGATATATCAAACCACACATACGAACAAGTAATTTTAAATTTCATTCAAAATGAGATATTTAATTTCTTATGTGTGTTCTTTATTTTCATTGCAGATTGTAAATATGATTCGACAATCTCGTAAAAAGTCAAATGGTGAATTGATATTAATTGTACGACCAAATAGTAAGTGAAATTTATTTAATAAATACTCAGACAATTTGATGATGTTTTATCTTTTAAGAATTTATTACATCTTCTCAATTAAATCATGATAATCAAGATATTTATGATAATGAGTTAGTATCATTTCATGATTATGTACGTTTGGACACATTAGAAGAGTCGTTACAATGTTTAAAAAATGATTTAGCTAATGGACGTTTAATTGAACAATATGAGGTAAGTATGAGAGTAGTAGTTTAGGTTAAAGTTGATTTTATAATGGATAATACCGAATTCATATGAAATAATCTTAATTATTATCGTTTTTTCTCTCAGTCAGAATGAAAGCTCAGATTAGTACGCGAAAATTTATTTCAAATTTTATTCATATTCGAATAGGATAGATATAAATATATAGGATAGATAAAACTAATCTAGTATTCTATTATTGTTATTTAGACTTTACAAAGGCGTAGAATTGGATTTACATTTGATGTTAGTACGTCAAGTGAAAATTTTCATAAAAATCGTTATAAAGACGTTCTACCGTACGATCAAACTCGTGTCATACTTAAACATTGCAACAGCGCTGATTATATCAATGCAAGTTTTATAAATGTGAGTATTTTAAATTTGGAAAATGTACAATTCATTTATAAAAATACCTTTTTTTACTATTTTTTTAGATACCGATTACAACAACTGATGTCGTTAATCGATATATAGCAGGTTCGTTATAACAAATGATTACCTTTATTTTTTTAACTAAATGTAGACATAGTTATAGATCGTTTATTTTTAGCTCAAGGTCCATTGTCAAGTACATGTGATACATTTTGGAAAATGATTTGGCAAGAAAATTGTTCATTACTAGTTATGTTGACAACATTATATGAAAATGGATGTATAAAATGTCACCAATATTGGCCAAATATTAATGAAATTTTTGATTATGGAACATTTACAATTAAATGTCGTCGAGAAAAAAAAGAAAATTTATTATTGTACAGAGAATTTTTGTTTACACATAAAGAAGTAAGATAAATACGTTGAATATTTATTAATATATTTTTTCAAAAATGATCACATATTTTAGTTCAATGAAGAACGTACAATATTTCAAATACAATTTGAAACATGGGCTGATCACGGTATTCCATCAGATTATTCAACATTTATTGATTTAGTATTTCAAATACGTGATCATCGACAAAACAAACACGTACCAATTTTAGTTCATTGTAGTGCCGGTATTGGAAGAACAGGCGTTTTAATTTTAATGGAAACAGCATTATGCTTTATTGAGAATGATCAACCAATATTTCCAATTGATGTTGTTAAACAAATGAGAGATCAACGAATGGGAATGATTCAAACTACTGTAAGTCATCTTTTCTGTCTCTATTTCCACATTATTGACTAGAAAGAAACTAAGCATGAATTTTCTGACGAGGAAACTTATCCAAGTGATACCTTCCGATTTCGTTCGTTCATACGTCGATTGATAGAAGGTATCGAGCTAGTAAAAAGCCTAAAAGAATCTTTCCCCATGGCTCTTAAAGATCCGATCTTCTGGAAAACCAGTTTTTCAGAAACTCCAAAAAATAATCCAAATCTTTCTTAACAATGCAGGATTGTAGCGCTCACATTTCTGATTAAAATGAGACATTCTCCACCTCTACACGACCTTTCTTTGCAAAGTTATAGAATTTACAAGAAAAGCTCGAAGTGTTCATTGTCAGCTCAAAGCTACGGAACGACTCTTTTTAGGCTTTTTACTAGTTCGATACTCTCTATCGATCGACGTATGAACGAACGAAATCGGAAGGTATCACTTGGATAGGTTTCCTCGTCAGAAATAATTCTTTTATCTCAATCTTTACACTCGTTTCTTGATTATTTTTTAGAGTCAATTTCAATTTGTTTGTAATGCTGTATTGTACGCATACGAAAATGGACTTGTAAGCGTCTGTAATTGATTTTTATATTAAAAAAAAACAGACAGCTCAAGTAGTTTCAATTAAAAATTATCAGTTTTCAAATTTCAGATATTTATTTACAAGACTAAAATTTTGTGTACTCTTTGGCAACTTTCTAGCTCAAAAGATAATATTTCGTGTTTTTCTACTTTCTTCCATTTTACTGTTGTTATTTTTATTTTCTTTATTAATTGCACTATTTTCATCTTATTCATATAAACCATTTGATTCTTTTTTAAGAAACTGATAGATTCTAATCTCTGATAAATTTAGTAATTTAGCGTGCAAAGTCAAAGATTGTGCAAAAAAAGTGCAAAAACATATTTGTGACTATTAAATACTGCCAGAATCTACCTCATTTTTTTTCATCAACGAAATTTTTCACTTTTTCTGAACAGTTTATATATATATGACTAATCATATATTTTTGTCCATATTCCATTTTTTCTGTCTCTCTCTCTCTCCTTGTGTTTCTCTTCTGAGTAATTTATTAATGATCTGTTTCGTTTTTTTATAAATATTCTTTGATATTTAACATAATAACGTCGTTTATAAACGTGTCTGTGCTGTTTTTTGAATGAATTTTGTTGTTTTTCGCTAACGTTTAACGATTTTTTGTCTGTTATATACAATTTTCTAAACATAAAACAAAAGATAATACCTAATCGGATATCGTCACATGTGCGATTTAGAATGCAATAAGCAGATTGTGATTGATTTCTCAAAAGAATTGTGAACCTTTCACAACGACGGTCTTTGAAGATTAAAGTAGAAAATTGTTAACATTGAGTTATTTTTAGAATCACTGTAATAGACGAAAAGAAAGAAGTGTTTTGAAAACAATTCTTTCTTCAGAAAGAAAAATTTCTTTTTCTTTATTATACAAATACCATTCGACTTATAGATGTAATACAACGTTCGTAAATCTTGCGTAAATTCTTGTTACGAAATATGGTTGAATTTCAGCAACGTTTTATTTAAAATCGACGATAGCAAGTAGAACAAAAAACAATAATAAAGCCATTATAATGATTTAAGAATGTTGTTATCGACAACAACATTGGAACAAACACAGGACATATTATAAAAATATCATTCCTTGTCTAGATACACATGATTTCAATGCGCTAAAAGAACCTAATACAATTATTCAATCATTAGAGTTTTGGACTAATTATAGATACATTTCGTATAAAATCAACATCCTGATAAAAACTTAGTACGTACTGGAAACCATTGTCACGTGAATGAGTATTCATCATCGATTTAGTAACTGTTAACGTTAAATAACATTATGAGAACATAATTATATACAACTACAAGAAAAGTATTGATATGAATGTGAAAAGCATAATGACGATTTGTAAACAGAACATACAATTAGACAAAGTAGTAAACTATTACAAATATTGATCATAGATTTATCTGAAATATTTATTTGATTGCCGAGTATTTGCATTGGCCGCAAGTGAATTTTGGAAGACTTTCAATCAATCCGATACGTCCTCAATACTCTGATACATTATTCATTTTTTTCTTAAGCAAAACACTGAGAATAATCCATCTAAAATTAGTCTAAGCAATACAACAAATTTATTATACATATCAACTAGAAAACGTTTAATTGCAGAATGAGATACTCTTTTTTTTACTTTTTACATTATTCTATTACTTTTAAACGTCGTCTAACTCAGCATTACTGTTTTTAGTTTATTTATTTATTTTAAAACATTATACTCACGCACATTTTCCTTTCTATGTCTCACATGTTTCTTATGGTATATTTTTTCGAAAATGATAAGAAAAAGAGAAGAATATTAATAAAATACCATTGCTGAGCTAATACAAGAGGATTCTTTCACATGACAACGATAGTCTACTTCAATCTTCAGCTTTAGATTATAATTGAGAATCTTTTAGTTTAATAACTTTTTTTGATAGCACGTACTCGTCTCCCAATGGTGGTTTAGATTAGATTATTAGATTCATACAATGTTTACTCAATGTATTTAAAAATATGTTTTTTTCTTAGATTAAAAAATGACTGAAATAAAATTCAAAATTACAGCCATATCCTATAGTACTAGTGAATTAAAACAAATTCAACCTAATGTTGACAATTGTTTGATGTATTTAAAAAAACTACAAGAACATTTTAAATCATTTGATAGTTTAAAACTAGAAAGACAATTATTAAATCGTTGTATCTATAAAAATTGGAATGCTCGTCATATGGAATTAGGTATTCAAACTGGTAAACGTACAGTAAAATTACTCGAACGTCTATTTCAATTATATTCGTTATACGTAAATATTGAACAAATATTATCAATTTATAAACCTACAGATATTCATATCGTATTACCAACACGTGACACACTTAATAAGTATATGAAAATCTTGTATCGATCAAAAAAAATGATGATTAAAATTGGCATAATTAGTAAAAAATGCGTTGGTCATTTACGACTTGAATGTTCAAGGACAAATTTTATTCATTATAATATTGTTATTATGGCACTGTGTTCTCGTATTCATTATATAATGTTAGCATTAATCCAAGCTATTGAACAATTTTTGATAAATATGAAAAAAATAGTAAAAACATTCAAAAAGAAAGTTAATAAAAAAAATTGATTTTTTATACATATTTTTCTAAAAGAATGAAATATCCCAAGTCAAACTTGTGGAATAGCTCGTGCTCTAATAGATTTTTTAAAATTTTAGTATAACTCTTCAGCAAAAAATGACGATTTCAATGCTTGATTATCTTATGTTTTACGATTCGAAAGCGAAAGGATTGGATCTCTCTTTTTCCGACTTAAATTTTAGTCGATCGTTTTTTATAAAGGTGTTTTATTATGAACTTACGAGGAAATCGTCTCAGGTGTCAAAATCGTTTCTAATTATAACTAGTTTTTTCTACAGTCATTTTTGATATCTATTACAAATGTGATGTGTGTTATGTGCACCTCTTGAGTCTCTGAATAACTCTTTAAATTTTTGGTCTCTAGAGATCCATGTGCAACGAAACATCAGACGTTTTAAGATTTTTTTAATAGTAAAACTTTTATAACTCAGTTAAAAATTGTTCGACAGTTCTAAAAAGATTCCTATCTTTAATACGTCTGGAAAGATCTATCATCGAGAGATCAGATTTTTAAAGAGTTATTCAGAAACTCAAGAAATGCACAAACAAACATCAAATTTATGATAGATATCAAAATGACTGTAGAAAAACTAGTTTAATTAGAAAAGCTTTTAATACTTGAGAAGATTTCCTTATCAGATGCGACAACGATTAGCTAATGACCAGTTAAAAACTTCATAGTTCATATATTAATATTTTATTTTATGTTGTGTCGTATTTTGTGGATGTTACTTGTAGATGCCAATAGACTATGCTCGTTATCTCAGTATGGCAGCTGCTCGGCGACAACCAAGCGCCATCCGAGAAATGAGTAATACTTCTTTTTTGAAAAAATTTATCAGTCGATATTTTAATATTCATGTTATTTTAGCACAGTTATTCCAACGTAGTCCACCTTCAACAATTTCATTTGCGGGTGGAAGTCCGAACGTATCATTATTTCCATTTAAAGATGCTACTATTACATTGACGTAATTTTTATTTTCATAATATATATCAAATAAGTATTGAAATATATCAATATTATTTAGAGATGATACAACTATTAAACTTGATCCATCGGCCATGGCCAAAGCGTTACAATACTTGCCAACACCTGGGTAAATCAACCTTGATTTTGTAATTAATATAACGGTATTATATTATTTATATTTAAATGTTTCAGTTTACCAGATATGTTAACATGGTTTCGAAAACTTCAAGAACACTATCATCATCCGAAAGATTTTGATTCATATGATTTGTGTATTACGACTGGTAGCATGGAAGGATTGGCCAAGGTGTTTGAATTGTTACTCAATCAAGGTGATCCAATATTGATTGATTCACCATGTTATTCAGGTTAGTTTCAATGAGTAAATTAGTGATATGTATTATTAAACGTTTCCTCATAATTAGCCTGAGCAAAGACATTTTTTTATTCGTTTTAAGGTTCACTCGATTTTGTACGTAAACATCTATGATATAGAGATTCTTTTTTTCATATTATTTTCTCATCTTATATTGTTTATCGTAGTTGAGAGCATTTGGTGCTGATATTCACAGTATACCGACCGATTCGTTTGGCATGTCTGCGAAACATTTGGAAGAAACACTCTTTAATTGGAACGATAAAAACAGATTACCAAAGGCTTTGTACACAATTCCTAATGGAAGCAATCCAACTGGTACTACAATGTCAGTGGAAAGAAAAAAAGAAATCTATAGAGTAAGTAAATCACGAAAAAATCTCTTAGTTTAATTAGTAACTTTATATCTCTTCAATTCCTCTCATAAGTGATTTTAAAGAATTATATTGTACTGCAGTTAACATTCTAGACAAATAATAATGCTATCTAATGACACTAATCCCTTTCCCGCACATAATAGAAGACCAGTGCTGACGATTTTTTCCTGAGACTCCTTCCATAATCTTTCACAATGGCCAAAAGTCTACCTGAGTTGTTTGCCAGTGAGTTGTCTTCTATTATGAGGGGAGAAGGTTTACATCATATTCTTGAAGAAAATCTTATCGAAATATAATAGTAAGTCGAAGAAATCACAGTCAAACTATATGTAATCTAGAGTACATTACGTATGATCTTTCCTGTAGCAAGTGCTTGAATTTTCTAAAAAATGCACATGAGATTCTTCAGGCATGCATCTATTTCTAATTCATGTGAATACCTCACCGAAAATCTAGCGTTACTCTCTATATATTTTACTAACCCTAGTAAAATAAATAGAACAAGTGAGTTCGTGGAATTTTAGAGTTGTACTAGCAAAAATGCATTTACATCAGTTTTTCAACAGAAGCATTGAGCATTAGAGATAAAAGAGTTTAAACACAATTAAAAAATAAAGATAGAAATTGAAACAGAAAATCTTTGAAAGTAGACGGGTTCAATCCGGTTGAAGGCGAAAATTTACAATACCAAGAAAACTTGAAATAAAGTAGAGTAACTTAAGGTAAATCTGATCAGTGTCAAAAAGTTTTTCAGTGTTTTGCTCATAGCTAAGTCATTTTTGACCGGTTTTGCATAGATTGTTAGATCTGACTCTTAGCTGTCGACTGATGCAAAATTCACCAGAG